TGAGTAGAATTATTCTTTACGAGTAAACGTAGTCATACTGCATTTTGACAACTTCTACTACCAATTGTTCTGCTCTAAAAGACAAATGTCAAAATGATGTAGGACTGCATTTACCTGTAAGTGCTTACAAACATTGCTCAAGCCAGTTGCATCTTGGGAAATGCTTTTATAGCTGTGGCAAATACCCTTTTGTGATGTGTAATTCATACTATTTTAAATTATCAGGTGTTAAAATACTGTATAAGATAGCCTATATCCTTAATACTATCTCAAGTGCTCTGCATTGTTTGTCAAACACCTAAGCACGTTTGTCATCTTGCCTTTTAGTTTGGAAAAACATGCAGCCATTGGTTATTGTGACAGCTTGGAAATGTAAGTGTTCAACCATTTAACTAATAAGTTGGTGTAAGCAAAATCAACATTTATTTTCTCTTAATATGAAAAGCCTGAATATAAACTGCTTAGCTGCCTATTTTCCAAAGGCATACAAAAGGAAGAATGGATGCACCAGTTGCACCAGCAGGAATTAAAACTAAAATACGCACTGAATGCGGGGAAAAAAAATCAGTATGCTCATTCAACTCCTCCCCAACACCATTATATAAACAGAATTAAGGCAAATATGTAATTTCTACATCCAACAGCATATATGCCCTAAAAAATTGTTAAATATTTTGTTGATACTTTAGTGAAACTGAATTCTGCTTTTTTTTTTGTAGAAAGAATTTACTTTGTTCATGTAACTCCAGACTGACACCACAGAAACCATAGTCCCATACTCCACAAACCATGTGCATCGCTTCCAAATCACAATTATAATATTGTTTTGGAAAACAGAGAATACAAATTATTTCCCCCACATGGTACATTACGGGATTCCTGCACCATTCTATGCTACTGGCATACAGTAATTACTCAAAAGGAGATAACTGCATAAAATGTGTTGTTTAAAGTGCAGGAACATCCCTTATCACTGCACAGTACTTCAAGGCTTGCACAGGGTAAGACTATTTTACTTCACAGATCAATGAAAAAGTGCTTCAAAAGGAGAAGTCAGCATCACAGAAGAACCCACCTTCATTACTCTATGACTTTCCAAAACTGTATCAGAATAATGGTTTCAGTGTCTTTAGTTGCAGGTTTACATTACACTAAAACCAGAGAGAATGCAAAGCATATATTAATGCATACTTAGGAAGTGTGAACTCCTAATTACAGTGTTACCTTACCTATTACTCCGTTGTTTCATTAGCTTTGGGGGATTCTACATGGTCATTTGCAGGTAGGTGAAAATGTTTTCTACTTGTGCAGCTGACTGACTGCAATGCAGCTCTGGATCACAAATAATACAGCCACAGTTCACAAGTCCATCCCATGATTTCACCAGAAAGGCCCATTCAGAGCAATACACAAAGCCCTCTAAAACTCTATCCTCAGAGATTTGTCATCATTTCTTCTCAAAACTGGGGTTTATAGCTTGAGTCCTGTGGTAACCGCAGCAACACAATTTCTTCATCAGAGTTCTGTTGCTTTCAGCCAGAAAAAGGTACAGACTGAAGGAATTTACCTCAACTGTCAAAAGATTGTGTAGCCATGACCTTGATACAACTCCTTCCTGATTCTTCGTTTAGACCTATGAACAGTACTCATCACAACTTTTTCATAGAGGGGTAAAAGGAAAAAGGAATGTGCCACTTTTTGGATGGATTTAGTGGGTTTTATAAATTATTTCCATACTTCCTCCAGCTACTTCACAGTCCTCACCATTCCTGTATTTTACCTTATAATTTTGGTTTTTTTTTCTTTTCATACAATCCCTTTTCCATACAGCACTATGTGAAAAGGATGCTGCTGTACTTTTCACATCTGCTCATGTACTTCTTCATCAACAGCATTATAATTCTGTTGAATTTCAATTTCCCAAACAATGGGGTAGGGAAGATAAGGAGTATCAACTTTTTTTCTTTTCAAGACATCTTAAGAAAAAGCAAAGTAGGGTAATTCATAGGGACTGAAAGTTTACAGTACATGTTCACATTTGCTTCATAAAGCCCACAGCCCATTGCTCTGTACAGTATAACTGCAGCTCACAGAGTGAGTGACATCTTGGTCGCTCCAGGAGCTGGTATACCAGCAGATGTGAACTGAAGAAATAATGTCAACCCAAGAACTAGACTGGAGTCTTCCAGCAGATGTTGAATTTAATTGCACTCCAAAGCAAACGAACAAAAAATGTCCCATCTTATGCTGGTTTGGCAAGGATGGAGTTTATCTCCTCACTGGCAAGTGCTCCAGCCACACCACCCAAGTCAAAGAAGGCAAAGGTGGGGGACCGGGAGAATGAAGAACTTCCCATGGTAGGAGATCAGGTTTGAGACCATCTAAGGAACCTGAAGGTACATGAGTCCATGGGACCTGATGAGACGCATCTGCAGGTCCTGAGGGAATTGACAGATGAAGTGAGAGAGTGGCAGTGTGGTACTTAGTTGCCATGACCCATCTCTTGTATATCTTTGTAAGAAGCCACAGTTAGACTCTGTTCAGACACAAAATAGTTACAAAGGCAGGAACTTCACAAGAAAATTCAACCTTATTCTCATAAGTACAAAGAGCTATGATTTTAACAGCATGAACTGCCTGGAGGTACCTGCATTTCTCCTTTCATTTAGAGGAGGAGAGCTTGACCAGATATCTATATTGCACAGAGCTAAAATCAGGTGGGGTTAATGCTCTGATGACATTGAGGTGGAAATAATGAGCATTAAATGGGCAAAATCAGTTCTTCCACAGATGAGGACTACAACGGGTAAATGGAATGAAAACATAGAACAATGTTTAATATGCAAAGTATTAAAAAATCCCCATCAATGTCTTATCTTTGCTTTCATGCATATTCCCAGTCCCTAAATGCTAAGTGGGATTACTTGTGCTTTAAATTTAAAGTGCATGCTCAGTTCCAGTATGCACAGTCAGCAATCCAGTTTCTCTTTTGAGCACATTTCAAAAGATGTGAACTGTTAAAGAAAACCATAATGATCTGAAGGCTGGTAACATCAGGAATGAGTGAAAACCTGAGACTTCTGCTTGGCTTAGAAAAGGGATTCAGAACTCTGAATAGTCTATTCCACCCCAGTGCAACTGTGTTGAAATGCATGGACAGGGATGTTCTTCCAATATTCTAAATAACTTTGGTGAGGTCAGCTGGCAGTCTTTATGTCCTAATCAAATCTCTAGTACCTAAAATTTCCCATTACAACTGACAAAGCTCTTACAGCATGACAACTTCCCTCTTACCTTCTCTGTGTGACTGCAACACCTCCAAGACCAGCCTGAAGCTGTTGGCTAAAGCAGTAATTAGTAATTTTCATCATTTTTGTACCATGTATGCATGAATGTATGTACATTTGCATGTATAAATATATCTCCCTCTGGCATCATTTACAGGTCCTAGAAACCCTTTCTGCTCTGCTGTTTTTGTTGTTTGTATGTTACTGAACATCTTTGTAGAAGGAAATCTCAGAATAAAAATAGCATATCTAATGGCTCAAAGGGACTTTCTGTCAGATGGATTTCAATATGATATCAGATTACTAAGCAGGATTTGTATCTCTTGGAACTTCAACTTAAGAGATTGAGTAGAATATAGATTTTTCTAAGCGTTAGCACGAGTTTTATTGTAAACACTGGTGTGTCCTTCAGGTTTGAAATTTAGCAATGATCTTACTGCTGCTTATTTTATCAGGCAATTGGCACCACCACAGTCACTGACCCCCTATTCTTGGGCAGGCTTTGATATTGTAGCTAGTTGAGCTGGTAAAAATCCTTCACAGGGCTGCTCTCATTAAGCTCATCCTTTTAGTCTTTATTCAAGAAACTGAGATGGGTAAAGATTTTGGTTTTATTCTTTTGAACTTGAAACCATCAATAGATTGTACATCTAATATACACAGTCGGAAGAAACTTTGTAGTTGGTGGTAGTTCCACCTCAAGAAACAAACAAAAAAAAAAATTCTGGCTTTGCAGCGGATTAAAAATATATTCCTGAGCTCAGAGACAGCCTAGTTTGGGCACAAAAACTCCAGTGACAATTTCAAGAGAAATAAAATATGTACTTAATCCTTCAGTCACTCTCACTGAGTTCCACTGATTTTTGATTAAGCAAAACAGACAGACAAACACAACTAACATTGTCCTTCCAACCAGTGGCCTCTGCCTGAAATCAGTGCTCCTGTATTAATCGGAGTTAATGGGCCCTTGTCAGGAGAAAATCCTTATTTCATGAAAGACCTACTATGCTTGTGTTATTCACATTATATTTCACAATTCTTGCTGTTCAAATCATGGGCATTTTGCCAACACAGAAAGGTTGTTATTGTGTTTTTTTTCTCATAATCACAATTCCTGTTGCTTCTAATATAACATCTATTGTCACTACACTCAATGGGTCAATTTTGCTCTCACTTATAAAGTCCACTCAATCTTCCAAGGTTCCACGAAAAGCTGTTTGGTTTGGTAATGATGCAGGAACACTTCTTAAGAAAGAGATTCAAGGAGAGGGGTTTTGGTTTTTTTTAATTAAGGTTTTACACAGAATAAACAACATTCTTAATGACAGCCTGCCCAATCTCTATACTTTATATTAAGGGACATGCAATGAAATTTGTGCATAAAGGATGAAGAGGCTGAGTGTTAGTCCCAGAATCTGCTGGGATGTGTGAAAAGTGACAGAATTTCCTTTTTCATTTCCATGGAAAACTCCACAAAAGCTTGATTGCCAGGAGTCCATGCCCTCAAAAGTTTTTGGTGATCATCAAGGCACTTTTTTCTTTCTATATTATTCAGGAACAATAAATATCCCCCTTCCATATGTCACAAATGAACCTAAGGTGATCTGCAACATTGTGAAAACCACTCCCCTAAATTTTGAAAGCTGTAAAACACACTTTACATAGTTGCAGAATTTCACCTGCACTATAAAAAGTCATTTTTTTGCCACATACCTTTTTTTTGTTGGTGGGACAAATGTAGAAATTGTCAATAACAGTGGCAATCCCAGGCTGTAGATTCAACTTTGTGTATAATGTCCCAAAATCTGAAGACCTGAAAGAAATCAAACATCTGTAAGTACTCTCTTCTAAAGGGTTCAGCATTGAAACTCTGCAAAAAAAGCCCCGCTTTGTGGTACTAACTATCCATTTTCAATGTTTCTGTGCCATCCTTTTGTTCTTTTCAGAGCTCACTAGCTAAAAGAAACCTGCCATTATTAAGTATATTATTCTAGGTTTGAAAAAAAACATGGTTAGTTCTGTCTGTATTTTACAGTCCTATGCAGTGCTAGGGGGTTTTTTTCTGTGCAGTGACAGAAGCCCAAAATGTGCACCTTTCCATCACCACCCACAAGGTGGGAAAAAAGAGCTATGAAGAGCACAGGCTCATTGGCAAGAACTAACAGCACCTCCTCAGCTATGGAGAGAAAGAAGAGCTGACTTCAGAGCTTGCTGTTGCGTAAGAGAAGAATTTGGCCTGAGATCTGGAAGACTCACATTGGACCTCTACCAGAATAAGTACTTGATAAAGGTACCCATCCACTCCTCCAGCTCTTTTTTAGAGGAGTTTTGAACGAATAAAACCAAAGTCAGTGCTTGGCCATCAGTATGTCACACACACACACGTATCTATGAGTATTTCAAATGTGAGCACTCTGATGAATTTGTTTCATACTCCTGAAAAATCTGCAGTGACAAATGGCATCCATGCTACTCATTTGTATTGCCAATGTCAATTATAAAAAGAACAGACAAGTAAAATGTTAGTATAAGACAATGCTGGTGAAATTCAAAGGAAGTCACATTCAAATTTAAATCTCTTTGGATGAAACCTTGCTTGTTCTATTTAGAATCAAATTGTATCATGCACTCTCTCCATATTTCCAGTTATTCATTTTGCACTTGGAAAGGGACTCAGACACGTGTAAGGCATTTGTCCCCTCTTCACCAAGAAGCACTCCCTAGGGTAGAGAGTTGGTGTGAGGACTCACACTCTGTACTCCCTTTCTTTTCACTGCAATAACAATCTCCTTCACAAACAGGGCTGAAGGTACCCTGCCCAGTACCTCTGCATAATTCAAACAACTGGGAACATGCAACAGCTCTCATGTCTAAGAGAACGAAGAGGAGACCTCTGTCCCTCCCAGTGTGACACTGAGGATTGCCTGTGCAGTGATTTCTGCCCTATAAACCCAGTTCTACCACGTTCATTACTCTGAGGTGGGCTCTCCTTGCCCAGGGGAGTCACTGCTGAAGTTTGTGGGAATGTGACTGAATACAAGGAGAGAGAAAAGTGACAAACCAAATCCCTGGCCAAGTGTGTACACCTTGACAGGTAGCCCACTGCCTGAGGTATCCTCCAAGGCACATGAGGCAGATTAGTCCCTGAGGGGCTGGTGCCTGCAGGAGGCTGCCATGACAGCCCACCTGCATCCCAGTCCCACCAATGATGTCACCTAAGTTAAAGGGCACATTGTACGAAGCCAGAGGTGTTTGCTGTGCTTTCACACATCCAGCTTTCCTCAGCATACAAGAACTTTCAGCTGCGGTCATGGAGCAGCATTCTGTGTCTTTGGCATCACCAAGCATAGTGGATGGCAGAGGATGATATGCTGGATCAGGTCCTAAGGGACACCAAGCAAAGAAGGGTTCATGTTTACCTCGTTTTTCTTCCTTCTCTAGCAGTCAAAAAACCCAACTGCTCACACACAGAACACACTCACAGCCTAAGCTGAGAGTTTAACCATTTTATAGTGATATCTGAACGGATTTGATCTGGTTTCCCCCTTCCCCCCTCAATTTTGCTTCACCTGCAGATATACAGCAATGCATTACAGAAGTTAATGGAATCATTACCACTCAGTTTTGACAAATAATTATGTAGAAATCAAATACATACAACTGCAGTGTACTAGGCGCTCAGCAGAGAACTAATTAAAATCCTAAGGGGAATAGGATGGACAGTGCTAAACCTAATTTGCCAGAAGTGTTTGACAGAAAAGAAATTAAAGCAAAGACTAAAATACTGACTTCAGCCAGATGTACTGAAATCATGTAGGGCAAGTATGTATGATGGAAACATAACCTAGTCTATTCTCTTTGAGGAAAGAATATCAGGTCAGTGGTTTGCCCAATAATAACATCCTGAAATAATTCTCTGAACCTTAAAGATGATTCAATTTACTCTGAAGAGGCAGTTCCAGGATTAATACAATGGGACCACTGGAGAGTGACACCGCAGGAGGGATGGTGGCAGCAACTGTATCAAGGTATGAAAAGAATATGGGCAGGAAGCCCAAAGAGAATAAGCCATTTCTAAGACAAAAAGTTCCAATCTAAAATTTCCGCTTCTAATTCTCATGACTTTTTAAAAGTACTGCAAGAAAAGAACGAGATTTTTAAAAAAATAAGAGTGCACTAAGGTTACTATGGTATTTTCAAAGGCAGAAAAACTATATAGTCAAACAACTTTTATTTTCTGCTACAAGTTAGCAATCTCAAGGGGAAAAAAAACATCCAGTGCAAACCTGAGACAATAGGTTAACACATCTCCCAAAAAGTACACCAGGCCTAAGCAGGAAGACCCAGATTGGAAGCAGATCTGTGGATCTATGGAGAAATCTACTTTTTTATTATAGGCCAGATTTGTGGTAGCCCAGGAATGTCAGTTACTGTTTGGGACATTTATGCACAAGAGGACATAGTTCAAGGACATCAGTCAAGGGAAGCACTGTGCAAAATAATTGGTTTTTCTACATCTGCTATAATACAGAGGAAACAGGCCAACATTTTTACTTGAGATATAAATTCCAAGTTCCTGTCCCTGCATATATGAAGAACTTACATTCTGTAGCACAAAGCTAGAATAGAGTTCCCTTTAATTGCACTACTGGGCTGCAGATAGGATTGGGGAGGATGAATTCTGGGATCTCAGTGCATACCTATTTCAATATATTACAAAATGTGTTTTGTACCAAATTAAGGATAGGAGAAGTCCTATGGTTTTCCAGTCATAAAGAGATTTTTTTGTCTGCTAGAAACCAAACTTGTGCTGTGTCAGAAGTGTTAAGGAGATGGGAAAAAACCCACATGAGACATCTGTGTTCATCAGTACAAACACATTCTCTTTCCTCCCTAAAAATTCATTAAAAGACATTTCAAGTTATAATGGAAAGAGAATACACATGCACCTGATGAAAAGAGGAAAACTTTCACCTACAGTAGGGTTTATTTGCAGTGGTAGCACAACAGCAAAACTCCATAAACCAGAGCAAGAAGTGTAAAGATTAATTTTGCAAAGATGAGCCTGACCTGCAGTTCTAAGTGATCCAGATGCAGTTAGTTAGAATTTGACTTTCTGTGAGACACTGCAGGGGATACAGCAAGAGATATATAGGCTGCCCCCTCCTGCTGGGTATCCACCTGTGCACTACAGGCTGCAGATCACATAGATGTTTCCTTGTAGAGCAGAACTCAGTGAAGGACTCATAGGAAACATATCTTCCAATATTCAGGTGATGGGTCAGAGAACCATCAGATGGTGGATTGACATGATTCCTCATGACTGTGCAGACATCACACAACCCGACCTTGACAGAGCTTGTGGCTGGGTGACAGTTTCTTTGAAAGTATGTACATCTGTTGAAATGTGTCATAGTTTTTGTTTTTCTTTAAGGAAAAATCAGTTGTCACTGTAAGAACAGTATGTTCAAATAACAATCCTCAAAATCATACAATGATATTACAGGACAGACATAATTAGGTATTTTTAGCTTGTTTTAATACTGTGAGATCAAAAAATAGGAAAAGGTCCAAGTGGTACAGATATATATCCTGATGAAATAAAACTCCCAAAGCCCCTAAGCTCTGAGTAAATTTGGGTCTCATCCTTAAAAATGTAACTTTTTTATATTTGAGCTAAAATAAATCTATGCTTAACATAAGTTGGAACTGTATCTAAACACTGGATCTGGACATCTTCCAACAGAAATATTGAGAAAGAAGAAGAAATTTAACAGATACGAAAAGAGACATGAACCAAATGTTTGCCTGTCTAAACTTCACTATCATACAGTTCTCCACTGCTGACTCACACCTATGATTCAATATTGTTCATTGTTAGTTGTTTTCTCCAGATTATATTTACAAGTAGATATTAATATATAAGAAACATTTAAATTAATATAGTAGGATGTTAATGAAGATTCTTTGAGATGAAAATTTCATTCACAAGTCAAATTTCATACTCAAAGAAAACATGAACTGCAAAAAATGCTTTCTCCTCCTTTTTTTTTTTTTCTAATGAATTGAAGAGATACACTAGAAAGAGAATGGCTGGAATGTTTAACACACATCTTCATCAAATTTCCTCTACCTTTTCTTCTTGAAGATTAACTCAAGCTCCATTCTAGTCAAATGAGCCATACTGCAAAAGCCCCATTAGCTTAAAATCCTGGAAGACAACACTGAAGAGATTTCAAATGACTCATGGATTACTTAACTGGTGAAACAAAAAGAAAGTCTTTGAAAAAAAAATACAAAAGATCTGCTGGTTTAGATCATTCGTAAGTTGTTGAAAAAAAAGATGCACTGAGATGCACGTTACAGAATCAAGGAAGAGTGGATCTGTGCATAAAACTCACTGGACTGCTTCCCACTTAATTTTCTCCAGACTGCATTGCAAATGTTGTCTTCTCGCCTATCCCTCCTTTCTGTCGAGAGAACAGTCCAGGATTTACAGCATGAACTTTAAAATGCAGGAGAAATTATTTTAGGTTCTTGCTCTATCACAGACTTATATCTAACAGTAGGATTTTCTTTGTGCTCTGGTCCCTCACCTGAAAAACAGAGACAACGCTGTTTACTACACCTCAAATGCCTGTAAGGAGCACAAGCCCTATGAGGACTGGCTGATGGAGCTGGGGTTGTTTAGGCTGGAGAAGAGGTCTCAGGGGAAACCTCATCACTCTCTACAGCTACCTGAAAGGAGCTTGTAGCCTGGTGGGGGTTGCTCTTCTCCCAGGCAACCAGCAGTAAGACAAGAGGGCACGGTCT